ATAAAAAATCCCACCCTAGCGATCATTCTACAAATGTGACGTGTAAATACTATTCTGAGCTAAGAAATTAGCTCCAAAACGTATCTTCTCCAAACAGAGGTTTATCTTTATTCCGCACAAATATCCGCAGTCTTGGACGTAATACGGACAACTTTCAAACACATCTACTGATCTACTGGACGAATTACATTTTCAATTCGACGTTATAGGTATTACGGAAACTAGACTAGCTAAACAGCTTGAAAATTTGGACTTCAACCCGTCAATACCGAATAACAATTTCGAATATGTACCAACACCTCTGGAGGAGTTGGTGGGTACATCAACGAAAAAAGTGTAATATACAGTCATTGATAAATGTTATAGTGAAGCTTTTCAGGCACTTTTTGTTGAACTACACTTTCCAAAAATGCAAATATAATTTGCAGAGTGGTATATAGATAGCATAGCTCTCCGGAACGATTTCAGGAATATTTTGATATATTGCTTAAAAAACTCATCGCAACTAGGAAACAAGATTTTTATAATGGGGGATTTCAACTTGAATCTCCTTCGTTTCCAATCCTGTAAGTGCGCCCAAGACTTCAGTTTTTCTTTACAAAGCTTTGACATGACCCCGTCCATTGACAAACCCACGAGAGAACATAACAATTCCTACTCATTAATCGATAATATATTCACTAACAACCTCGAAAGTATTCTTTTAAGCGATAACATTATCTTGGATTTAATCGATCACTTTTCGCAATTTTGCATTCTTGACTTTTCTAGTAAACTGTTTGATGCGCAGAGACCTAAACAATTAGTTCGTGACTTGCCCAATTCTTTCAGTGTAGGGCCCACCTTTCTAAGCGAGCTGTCACAAATTGACTTGATCAGTGCTGTCGGCAATAAAGTGGATGTCAGCAAATCATTTACTGTATTTCACAATAAAATCAATAAACTCCTCAAGGAGCACGCATCTTTAAAACCACTTTCAAGGCGCAGTCTAAAGAGAGCTAAAAAAATCCTGGATAACAAAAAGTATTAGAAGATCAATCATGATAAAGAATGCTCTATCTTACTCTGGGGACACCACTGCCTACAAACTCTATCGAAACAAAATATTAATGCTAACGAGAATTATTAAAAAGACCTATCAAGAAAACATGGTGGACATAAATAGGCTCTTAGACCGGAAAACAAGAGGTCCTTAAGGACAAGACCTCTCTCAAATGTCCGACAAGCAACAAAGTTTCTTTCAACTCCTCTGAATTTCCAGACATAACGAATAAATATTTCTCTTCCATTGGGCACGATCTGGCATCCAAAATGCCAAAACCCACCCAAAAAATTTCACGAATATTTACGAAAGATAGGTGTGGCTGGTTCCTTCTTTTTTCATTCAATGTCTCATATTGAAATAGAAACTGACATCCTGAATATTCAACTAAATAAAGCACATCAAAATCTGAAGACGCTCGAATCGATCGTTAATGACAAGTTTTCAAATGTTTATAATTAGCTGATAGCCAACAAATTATCTTTAAACACCAAGAAAACCAACTATGTTATTTTTCGACCCAGACGAAAAATTTAAAATATCAAGTAAATTTGAGGGTATTTGACCATCACGCCGACACTTTTATTCCCCTAGAGTGCAAGAACTATGTCAAATACCTAGGCGTGCTTGTTGATGAGAGTCTTTCCTGGAAACACCGTATTCCTCATATCGCCTCTAAAATAATTTTCTCAGTCGGTATTATTTCTAGGTTAAGACATTTTGTTACCTTCAGTACCTTACGTCACATATACAAATCACTCATTCAGCCTTATTCGTTGTACGGTTTAGTTGCGTGGGTCAAGCTGACAAGACCCATAGAAACAGATTTTTACTCCTTCAAAAACGTGCCCTTTGACTTATGTTCTTTGTGAATTTAATGCTCATGCTGTACTTTTCTTTGTTTCTTCTAATCTACTCCCCTTAGATTTTCTTTCCTTCAAATCATCAGCTGTGCTAATGCATCATGTAATTAATGACCTAACGCCACTTCACATAACCAATATGTTTACTTATCAAGCCAATATCCATTCCTATAAAACAAGATCGTCAACAAGAGGTAATATTTTCGTTAAATATTCAAGGCTGAACCCGCATTTAAATCTTTTTCTTGATATAGCGTGCGGATTTGGAACAGCTTAATTAATGAATTGCATAATTTATCGAAACAGAAACTTAAAGTTAAACTTCATAACGTCTTATTTCAAATATTGACCGAAGCAAACGACGACATCGAGTCAACTGATCTGGTATCGAAAATTTCTTAGAAACGGCTGAGCTTCATTATATTTGTATTTGCATATATTCCTTTTTTCCCCGTTCTAGTTATCTATCATTATATTATAGCTATTTAACTTAGTAACTTATTCATTTGATGTAGTTTGGTTTTTTTTTGTTTCTTACTTTTATAGAAACTACTTTTTCCATTTCAGTGTTGTAATTTCTTGTGTTAGTACTCTGATCATCATAATTATCACGTATATATTTATTTATTTTCTGTTATTTGTTACTGTAAAATTTTTATTGACCTGCGTGAAACTAACGCTCGCCTCGACTCGCTGTTGTTATGTGCGAGCAGTAGATGTCAAGTTGTAAATAGATTGAATTTAACACTAAATACCCGCTTTTAACAAAAATTAGCTATTGTTGTATTTGACAGGACAAGCAACATAACTATGGCATGGCATTTTCCAGCGAGAACGTTTTCAGCTAAAACTTGAACGAATGAGTCATTTTATATGAAGATTCCTTGAGAAGTTCGTTTTGTTAATATTCCGTAAGAATCCCAAAAATCGTAATAAACGCAACATTAATACATCATTCCCACAACCACTCACTTCAGTGCAGCAGGTGGCATGACTTGGCAAGTTCAACATTTTAATCACAGAAACGAGACCAAATGACGGCGTAATTGCTTTCCCATAAACAATGACTAGCTGACATCCCGCCCTTGTCTAGCTACGAAGATATCATCTATACCACCTCTTAAGTAAACTGCACCGCAAACTTCTGTCAGCCTCTAAGAAATTTGATATGACAACATGACTCCATCATTCGCATCTGCCCTTCTTTTCGTCTTTGTGGAGGTAAGAAGCACAATATTTTAATTTCCATCTCTGCTCATACGTGCCTTTTTCAATTCGATTTCAAAGTTTAAGCCACATTTCCATTTTTGCATTGTATTTCGCCGTTTTTATTGGCTTATTTTATTTCTCTGGTTTTCAGACGATTTTGTTCGGGAGTATGACAAATGCCTGCCCTTTTTCTAATGGTAAGGTTACAAAAAATAATATAGATATTCTTTCTAATACAAGTCATTGCATCAATGCTATTTCTTCTTTCCGAAGAAAACATCATAATTTATTCACTGACAAAACAAACATTCTCAACAAACACGCAATGGGCAAATTTGGAATATTTTTCGGTAAGAGCTCTTTGCCACACCATTTTCATTATTTCTACACATTTTATCACTACGCATTTTTAATCAAATTGCTGAGGCTAAGATGGAGATCATATTGTTGGAATACTTGTCACTAAAATCTTGGGAATCTGATAACGCCTACAGAAATCGCTTGAAGGTCTCTATGTCATTGATTATCATGAAACATCTGTGTTGATTCATAGCTGCTTCGTTTTGTAATAAATAAAATGAACTCTTTAAATCGCAACCTGACGTTCTTGCAGTTTTTATACAATAAATCGTATATTTTTGGTGCTGGGGCTACGTGCTAATGAATTTGAGCTTATGCTCTGTTAATTTTTAAGGGAAAAAAATTAATATATCGAGGTGCCAACTACCGTCGATCTCCAAAAGAAAGTTCATTTGCTCTTGTTTGCTCTAGCTTCAATTACATGTTTGATAAACAACAGTTTCGCAACATTCATTGTTCGAAAACAAAAATGATTTTAATTATCTTGTCCCTCAGCACGTCGCTTTGATTAGGGGCGCCGCTTCCAAAACTTTCTTTATTACCATATCGCGCCTATAATTAACCAACTTTCGCATTACATCAACATCGACTTGTTTGGCAAGATGGGGGATAATAGCCAGCCAGTGCCATTAAAATTGTGTTTCGATTGGAATGTTTGAAGTTTTGGTGCAGCACATTCTTCAAATCCAGCATCTTCAGTAAAGAAACTACACCAACCAGAAACCACTGTAGAATAATATCGTGCAAAGCATCTAGAGACTGCAAAGTATTGTCAGCGGGCTAAAAGTTCTTTCTTGTTTGTTTAATTCACTACAAAGTTCGTCTTCACAAAACGAGCATAAGACGGTGTGTAAAAATAAATAAATTTCATGTTTATTTTTTAAGCGTTCCTCCAAAGCTTTTTGAGTTTTAACTGCTTAACATAGGGATGACATTATTTAATTTCTTGGTTGATCAAATATTTTTTTCCTCCATTTTTCGGCATATTAACCTCAAAGAAAATGAGACTTACCGATTTTTAGGAACAAAGAACATTTTTATTTCTCTAATGCTTAGGGAAACGCAACTCATTCAAAATTTCGCACAAAGGGGGCATTACAGTGCAGAAACAGCGGAAACTTCGAAGACAACAGGACCATTTATGCATGTAATGTTGTGAGCAGACAGGTTCTCTTCTCGACCGCTAAGAAAACGTATAGACAAAGAAACAGAAAAAAAAAACGATTCTGAACAAGGGAAGCAATTGGGATCATAAAACCCCAGGCCAACCGTTTGTTGTCTTGAAACTGGAACTCCTAAAATGATAGATAATGTTGATCCGGTTTCACTTAACAGCTGGTTTCAAGAATTGCCAACGATGAAAATTAGACTGGAAGTTAGGCCTGGCAGGGCATTTTATCTTTTCAGCTTAGTTTAAAACTGTTTGCGGTGGCCAATTCATACACCATCAACTCAGTTGCTAAAAGCAAATTATCTTGTAATTCTCCCTAACGACATATCGCTACGATTTCTTTAGAAACTAACCCCCTTTATTCCATTCGACAGGTGACCTAACCTACAAGTCAGTGTTGGAGTGTTTGTCGATCGATACAGGAAACGAAAGAAGACCGCCGTCCATCACAGTGACCTCATGTGATGACGGCAGTCTTATACTCACACACCTTGGCTGCTTATCAAGCCACAATTTTCATTTTAATGATTCACTTTGGAATTACCAAGTTGCTCGCTTCAAGTTTGACGGCAATATTGTCATAACAAATCTTGTTCACTTAAGAGGGACGAACGCCCTATCGTTGACCGGAGAAAATATTACTATAGATTTGAACGGAGTTTTGAAAGTTGATGTAAACACCATGCCTTCGTCTCACAAAGAAACAAGATTGGTTGGAGGTTTTGTCTCTGCGATTGGTGCAAATGGTTCGTGCAGAAATATACATTTGTCTTTCAGTGTTGGAGAAGTATGAAAATCTGATAGGCTTCATTAGAACTTTCTTCTCTTAGCGCTGATCATGTCCCTATGTCGACATATTTTCTTCTATTTCGTTTATAGCGACGACAATTTCAGCCTTTCAATACTTTTTTTTTGTAACTTATGTTTTTTGGTTGGTTTGTTTGTTGTTGTTGTTGTTTTTTTAAGCGAAGGAAAGCTGAATAGCATTAAAATCGTTATCAAGCTGAGATGAAAGATATACTAGCTTATCTATGTTTACGACTATTATTGCCTATATCTATGGTTATCTATTGTTTACTTCTAAGTAGTAATATTCAAGATGTATCATTCAATTTGAGAAAAAAAATGGTGTGCAACAAAAAAACAATAAGTTTTCTTTTCTCCTTACACATAGATGAAAAAGATGCTCTAAACTTGTACTAAAAAACCTGATAAAGAACTTTTTAAGCTCGACATTTCGATTATGAGGCAGAACAACTTTCTATCGGAACCGCATCAGCTTGTTTCCAAAGGTCAAGGAATTTCTATTCTGTAAGTTTTATGAACAGAGCCCCCCAAAACTTTTATACCTGAAGGAAAAGAGGGATTAAAATAGTTATACGGTTTGGAGCCGGTTAGGTTGAACACTGCTCACTTTGCGTGTGTCGTAATGGCTCGTTATGCAGGTAATCCTTATGGTGGACCGGGACGGGGATTGTACTACAAGAAAGAAGCTGGAGGGGCTGGCCATGGTGGTCACGGGGAAGGAAAGAGAAAGTACTCGTACAGCAAACCATATGGTCTTAAAAATGTCGACCACTATTTGGGAGGAAGCACAGGTATAGTGAATAGTTACGTTAAAGCCTGGGCATAATAACAAAGCTCAGACATCTGATAGAGCTCCTAAAGATTGACATTTATCGTGATCACTTCAAACTTGTAGAGTTAGAAAAAGTGAACGACGTACAGGATATTAATAGATTACTGGCTAAAATGATGGTACACTCGACTGTTTACAACTCTTCGCTTCACTCTGATGATGACTTCCGCTCCGGCAACAGTCCTTCTCAGGACTACACTCACCCAGAGGATCATAGGCTTAAATTATAGCTCCATTTGCCTGTCGAAGAACAAGCTCAAAAAAATATTGAAGATGTGGTAAAGAATTCATTCCATCATTCACGCCTTTCAAGGAGAATCTTATTATTTCGCTCGGCTGTTACCTTACTATAGCGAAAAACCTCCTGCGTAATATGTAACAAGAGCAACTAATGCAAATACTACTAGTTAACGCTCCGATACATTTATCTTGTAACTTCACTGACGTTATCATTCATTGGTTGGTTTGTTAATTATTTCATTTATCTATTGTTTTAGGAGCGTTTACGGGTTCAAATACGCCAGGGTTTGGAGGACCAGCAATTGAACTGAATGCTACAGGAAAGATAGAGATCAGTAAGTACAATCTGATCTTAAGAATTCTCCATAAACAGACGTTGCCCATACGACGCAAGATGTAACCTTTCTGTATCATCAGGGCGAAATCAATCCTTGACTGAGTCATATTCTTGGTGCCGTCATCCGGGCCACTCGATATTCATTGTGGCCCAGCAATCTTTACCCTGACATCATGATAGTATCCTTTTTCCAGCCCTGAAAACCGTAACATCTTCGTAAGTGCAGTGTTTACGGCCCGACATTTTGGACCAAGTTACATATGCAACGGGAGGTCGTTTTCAGGCCTATTCGACGCCTGCTCAGTTGATTATATGAAGGAAATAACTGCTTCTTCATCTTCATTTTAACTATCTGGTATTTGCCCCCCTCTACAATCCTCAGGTACCACAATCAAAGTTTCATCATTTTTTCAGCGTTAGTTGTCAACTTAATCTTATCCTGACCGACCCTCAGTCCACATTCTTCGATTGTCCCTCTATAACTATCATTGCAACATGTCTACCACAACTTCCCGATGTCCAAACAGGACTCTCCGTCATTAAGTCTAGTTTACACAAAGTATGCAAGCATGAGCATTAGAGCATGAGAGCGTTTACACATGCAATAGGCATACACTCAAGCATAAGATGAGACATGCTTTATGGCACGATTACCCTTAATTTGAACAATTTCAATTCCATTTCCCAACTTAAGTTGAAAACACAAAATTTTCATCCTGCAAATGGCTTTGAAGCTGGCAAAAGTAGCTGAATAAAAGAAGAGAAAACACATATTTAATGATAAATTGTGACGATTTATAAAAATAGCAGAGATTTGCGACGGAAAATTTGAAGAGCTATTAATTTAGTCTGATGAAAGGTTTTGCTGCAAGTATACTTAATGCTACAAAACCTTAACAAAATTATTAGTGAAAAAATTTTAAGTTTTCTGAATATCTGTCACTAGCTTGGGAAAAAAGAAAATCTGAGCCAGCATGTGAGGTTAGGGCTGGGGATCGAACAGAAATTTTGCGGTAGGATTTCCTATCACCAGAACAAAAGAGAATTTGGAGTCGTTTTCTGAAGAAAAAGTGCGCTACTGTTTCATGGCGAGGTGGTCTTCAAATCACGATAGCTCAACTCATTACAACAAGGCAACTACAACATGTACAGTTCCATGTTTCATTCATAAAATGTTTTTTTTTAATACAAGTCTTACTTCTCGCCAGGAGGAGCAATAGAAGCGAGTGCTATATCCAATCCAGTTTTATCAGGCATTTCCAGCAACGAGAAGATAGGAGGAAATTCTGGTGGCCTAGTCAGACTAATAGCTGAAACGGTAAGTAGAAATGGAAGGGGGGGGCACTAACTGCTAATTTAAATCGATACGTCAGTATAGGGCTATTCAGTAAAAAAGCAGCTTAACTAGACTTAGCTAATCAGGAAAATATCAACTGTTGACGCAGAAATGTAACGGTCAATTTTGTTTTATCCGTAGGTTCATATTTCGCATGAAGCAAGGATATATGTCAACGGCAGTAAGGGGATTTGCAGTGGCAAAAATTGTAAGGCTGGTGGTGGAAGTGGCGGGATAGTGCAAATCATATCCTCTTGTGGTTCTATCGCTCCTAATGCCATTTTTTTAAGTGGAGGTAGCCAAGCAGAGGATGGTTTCCTTTACATCAAGGGTGAGTAAATATCGTATAAATGTTAACGATAGGATGAAATCAAGCCAACGCTCTACACAGTGCACGCGTTAGAAAATCATATTAAGCAACCTTCGTCTACGATGCCTGCTCGTGAGTAATGCTATGCTTGATTAATTAAATTCGCCCCAATGAGGAGTCTCTGGTTTATTTCAGCTCACAGGTTGGTAACTAGAAAAATGGAATAAGTTTTTTGCTCCTCATTAAGCGTGATTACCAGGGCAGCATCTCGTCGACCAGCTGCTGGTCAAATCTTCAATTCTGAGTGCTATTTTAAATGATTCAAAGCCATATGAAATAGCACGAAATCAAAAGGATCATTCTGATGACTCTTAACTTCAGGTATCAGCGAAGGTAATTTTCAAACATTTCCTGATGATCCGTATTCCTGGGGACAAAAGAGTTCATCAACAAGAACTCTAACTTCGGGTGCGCGAATAACAATTCCCGCCAGTACATCTCCGAGATACTCGTCATCTGAAATAACAACAGTTAACAGTGCTATTTCGACAGCTACATTCCATACAACATCAAAGGTTTTTACGTCAAGTGAATTAGATACGACCACAAGCTATGCGCATGACATCTCAACGAGAACATCACACCAAATTTCCCCAGTCCGTATAGCAAGCAGTTCGTCGCTTCAGCCTCCACATCCCACAGAGTCGACCATTAGTGGTTAGTAGATTACTGCACTATTAGCAATGACTCACACTTAAGTTTCAAGGGTTAAAATTATCATTAGCTGGTTATTTTGCTACTCCCCTAAGCCCCGTTATACAAGTTACCCCTCTTTCAAACTGGTTTGATCTGTAATTCTTCTCAGGGCTAACTTCATAATTTTGCTTGGTTAAGTAGTATAGTATCCAAAACTGAACTAATTAAACAAAAAATGTTGCTTTTGCATACTATAACGTAACGCGCCATTTCCCATTCTTCTGGATCCAATAAACATATCGGTGAGGTAAGTTACTGTTAAGCAACTCCGTATTCGTGACTTATTTAGGTTTGAAATACGTTCCTGTATGTTTCACTGCTTCAGTGCCGCCTTTTAAAAAAGGAACCGTTGAGGATTTGCAAAATCTTCTTGAAAAAGTAAAGACATACAAGGTGAGGTCGAAGGGCTCATTTTCTGTTCGTTTAAAGCGATCGTCATTTTACCTATCTCTATTCCTTTCCCAAGACTACCGCCGTAGAATTCCAAATCATCAAACTTGGAGATAGAATACAATACCTTATTGGAAATATAATAATCCCTTATGAAGGTGCAGAGTACTTTTAACTGAATGATTTTATATGTGTTTGATTTATTCAGATTATAACAAGTTTTTGATCACTTTTCCATCCAACTGTCATGGTATAAATGTAAATATATGAAAAACATATACGTGAACTGCGGAGTAATAATGAATATGAATGCATCTACGCAGTGATGAACAGAAGAATTCAGGCTTGTACTGGATTTAAACCCAAGACCTCTGCGATACTGGCGCAACGCTCAACCAACTGGGCTATCAAGCCTTATTTTCCAGACCTGGTTTTCACTATTGCTTAAGTAGTGATCATGACTGCGAAGATCGCTCTCATATTTATTAATTAATTCGTAGTTCACATACATGATTTTCACGCATTTACAGTCATTTATTCATCACTTCCACATGACATCCCAGTTGGTAGGGCGCTGTACCGGTTTCGCAGAGGTCATGGGTTCGAATCCCGTACAGAACTAAATTTTTTCGTGTCTTATTTTCACCACTATTTAAGTAGCGTTCATTAATGCGAAAATCGTTTTCATATTCGGTCATAGGAGACTTGAAAAAAGAGACTCCGTCGTGTCAAAAAAATTGTTTCAGCCACAAAATTTAATATCTAGACGGTCAGAATTCTACTCTAATAACTATGAATTTACCTCGAAGTCTATTTTTATGCTTGTTCATTACTTTTCAATTCATTTTAAGGAGAATAAAGTCAACACCTCCAATCCAGTGGAAGCCATAACTCAGTTTCTGGAATCGTTCAGAACTTTTGCAGTGGTTGGGAACTTAACAACGTACATTATAAACATCAGCATATCCCTGATTGTAGAATTAAATGAACTGATGTTGTCGGACCGTCACCATAAATTACAGGTAAACTAAGTATGAATAAAGCTCTTTGCATATATCTTACGGAGGAAAACAAGAAATAGATCGATATAAGACTGCAATAGACAGGAATTCAATCTTGGATGTACTCAAGAGTCTACTTAAGAGTCTAGGCAATCAATCTCAACGCAACCTCAAAGGAAATTGTTCGAGACAAATTATCAACCGCTCTACTGATTTGTTTCAATAGAATATCCAGCCTACACAAAAATGAAACCTTGTAAAGCTAAAATGATTCAACAAAGTGTTGTACAATAGCCTGCTATGTAAAAGCGAGGTTTCATCTCTATATGATTAATATTTCAAAGTAGCACTCAAGTTTTTTAAAAGTCTTTTAACTTGTCTATCATACTTCATATCATAATTTTTTATTGCATCGCGCGATGCCTTTATGAAACCAATTTGTGTGACAAAGGCCATGTATTTTAGATCTTGTGTTGTCTTAATAGTGAAGACTTGATTCGTGCAATGTACACTAAAATAGAAAAAAAACAGATTTAAGAAATCAAAGAATTTAATCAGATTCATTCTCGCCTCAACAGACATTGTAAATATTGACAAAACTGTACTAAACTAGATTGTCTAAGCCGCAAACAATTGTAAAACATTGTTTTATGTTTTTTATAAGCTCATTTCTGCTTTACTCAACACTGTTGATGAACTCTTGGACGACAAAAACGCTGCAGTATGGCGCAGTAGCGAAATGGTGAGGATATTACAATTTCTAAACGGCAAATAATTCTCGTATCTTGCACACATGAGTTATGCAAACACCGCGACGTGTTAACTAATACTGGATTTGTTTAAGATTTAATGAAACAGACAGAACCATTGATTACCACGTTACAAATAAGCAGCTTGTTCCATCAAGTAAAACATGTAAACCAATCCTCAAAGAGTCATAGAAGCTGTAAGTTTGATCAAATATGTCCGGAGCACCCTGAGCAGTTATTTGAATGTATTCGAACATTAACGTATGAACTACCTTAATGTTCGAATACATTCAAATAATTATGATGTCAGTGTTCTCTCGTCTTTAGACTCAGTTTATGTAAGGATAAAAAATCTTCAGGAATAAATCAGTTTCTTGAATATGCAATTAATACAGATGTTAAAACTCATATTACAACAGGAGGCCATTAATGGGCTCCTGATTACAATTTATCTTGGATACGAAAACATCAACTCAACCTGATCTTTATAAATGTCTTGTCTCAGGCTTCGAAAATCAAGATGTCATGGTCGATTTTTATAGTCGAGATGTCATTTTAGGAGTGAATTTTTCTCCCTGAGGTTGAGGACAAAGTGTTCTAAAGGGATTCACAGTTATACTGGCTCGAGTTATCTTTCGAAAAGTCAGCTCACGAAAAAGGAGCAAATATTTTATAGAGCAAGTTGCTGAGGTTCCCGTGGTCCCGTATCGTTTCTGCGATACAAAAACGAGAACAAGACAACTCAAAAGACTTTCATACCATCGAGGTTCTTTAGATTTTATTGAATTCAGTAATTTTTTTCGCAAGAATTAATGTACGTGTTGAGCAATGGAATAGAGTGTTACCAACTTAAATGTTAATACTGGGTGTGAACGTCGAGTAAAACTGAGTGGCCGAGGGTGTTTAAGATTATTAACTTATTCTCAACTAACAGCTCATGGATCTTGTGGAAGCTGTGGAGAAGACAGCTTTGTTAGCAATAAATTATACGTCTGCCACTAACCAAAGCGTGATGTTAATCAAGAAAAACCTAGGTAAGAACGTTGTAGCATAAATCTGGACGAAATGTAATTTTCTCTTCAAAGTTTTAAGAGATAGCTTTCCTTTTCAAAGTAAAGTGCATCAAACATCCTCTGACCAACCAGGAAAAAACAAAAAGATTCTCTATTCGGAAAAGGATACTCCCCTCATCATTCCAGCCAAGGCCACAGAGTTTACAGTGTTATATCATATAATTCATCTTGTGCAGTTGTTTTAAATGCTCGGCTTGTATTCTGAAGTTGATTTAACGAATCACTATGCAACTTCTTTTTCTCCTTAGAAATGCATTCAATAGTACATTACGTCAATCCCAACAGCAATGTGACGATACCCAATCCTAACAAACAATCTCGGTCAACAGCCTTAATAACTCTTCAAGCAAGTGGATTATCCATGAACATTAGTAGATACACAAAAGAGGGTAAGCAGTTTGTTATTTACTGCAGGATTCGCTTTAAAAATATCATAACTTTCAAATTTCTATTCAGCAAAAAGACAACGACTGAAACCCTTTACAGCATCTTCAAAATGATTCATATCGAACTCAACCGAATGGACTAAAGGTCTCAACGCAGAGCGGCGAGTATGTTACCGGCAACAGGGTGACAAATTGTTTACTAAAAATGTTTGATCACATGTACTTACGTGTCATGCCGTAAGTGTCACGCACCCATGCTTTCGTTAACATTCGCTTGATAATACATTTGCTCTTCGTTATACCTTTCTTGGTAGGTCGCCTTGCTGTGAGCATGGTTATCTACAAAAATCAAATATCCTATTTCACAAGCAGGACACCGTCCGCTGCAATAGACGGGTGAAGAAAAAATTTATCATTCTCGTTTACATATCCTTTCTCATGGATCATTTTCGCTGTTAGTAACTAAGGAACAAGACACCCAAAAGAGCTTGACAAGACAAGTGAAGTAAAGCTCGTAAGATCATGAATTGTTCAGCGAGATTTATTCTAAGGAGGGAAAACAAGGTAGCGGACAGTAGCTGGTATCTTCAAAATAAAATCGATATTAAAAATATTCTGAGCTGGATTCAAAATCTCTACACTTTTTCAATTCTTCAGAATAGTTTTTTGTTTACCATTGAAATGAATACATTCGATGCATTGAGGTTATAATATTTGCGCGTGCGTGATCGGAAGGATCCAAATTGCCTCAATCACTTGTCACCAAAAATTGATAAGTAAGTTACCATCTGTTATTTCCTTTCTCGTCTCACGATGCAGGGAGCATTTGCGAGAAGCTGTTCTCAACTCAGAAATCATATCCGTTATGGTGTTTTATGACAGACAACCTCTTCATTTCCTTGCGAAGGAAGCCTTTTTGACCTTTGGAGACAAGGTTTGTGTGTAAACATGTATATCAAAACACTCTAGCCATTCTATTCGAGTAAAAATTAGAAATGTAACTTTTGTTTTGAAAACTAACTACTCCACAGATACAAATTGGAGGAAATTCAAAGTGTGTTTACTGGAAGTCCTTTTCTGGGTAAGCACTGACCACGATGTTAAGATCAGGCAAGCTCGTGATGGTTTACATGACATTTTCTCATAATCGGCGCTGACTATTGTTTTCGAAGGGGAGGAGAATGGTCATCCAATGGCTTATCATTGATCAAGAGTGACAGTGAGAGCACTGTTTGTTCAACAAATCATTTAACAAGCTTTGCCGTCATCATGAGTTTCACGGAAGTCGATGTAAGTGCTCTAATTCAAATAAACGCCAACACATCTTAAGAGACGTTCACTTTTTTAAGATCTCTACTGAACTATTGTTTTGATGCATCTGTAGCAACTAGAATTTGCATTTCTATTTATCGCCAAGTAACTGCGAAACGATCTTATATTGTTTTTCTTTCAATCGAACTACTATTGCGACGTTGTGTCTGTATTTAATTAAGTTCGCGTTTTTGCGTAAGGTTGCGTAAGAAATACGTAACGCCGGTAGCGTTTTATTTCTCGCCAGTATAAGCGTTGTTTTTGTGAAATAATTTTCACTGCTAGTTGATTTCAACTAGGTCAGTCATTACGTTTGTTTTTGCTGGCGCCGTGTTACTTTTGTTTAAGAGTCTTACTACCGGACGTGGTTACGCCACAAATTGTAAGTTGGTTTCCATTTCATGTAACTTTGTCCTTATTCTTATTGTTGTAATATTTGTACTTAGATATTTGTGTCCATTATTTATGTCAGTCCAATCGCATTCACCCATCTTTACATCTTTACAACCAAATATTTGTCGTCCTGAGAATTAGATTAAAGGTGCATTCAGGTTGTGGCGTTAAACGTGTAATATTTAGCTACATTTTTAGCAAAATTTGTGCATGGATTGACTATGGATGGCACCGGCGATTTCTTCCCGGAAAGTGGTATTGGAATTGGAAGTGAGAGAATTGATGTGGCAACGCCCAGCTCTAGGATTTTCGCTGATGACACTCCTGCAACAACGAAAGTTCAAAATGGTTTACGGCAATCTCGTGGAGGTTATCAAGGGTTCTTTAAAAAGCTTTGTGGCGAATTTTGGAGGCTAACATTGATAATGAAACTTCTCAAGCTTAAAAGAGAAAAGGTTTTTAGTGCACCATCGTTTAAGACGTTAAAGAAATCGTTTAAGACGTTAAAGAAATCATCCGTGGATGGACCGAATGAGGTGATACCTCATGGGTCGGGTCGCAACTCGTCAAGCAGGATATGTATCTGGCACATCTTCACATGGCAATCAGTTGAATTTGTACAACTGTTGCAGCAGCTGATGCAGTCTCAGCAGCAAGCGTTTCAATCTATGGCAACGACGATAAGGCAAGGATTTTTTTTACCTAAACCCGATCTCAGTTTGTTCGATAGCAACCCCCTCGAATTTTGGAGTTCCATGCGATCGTTTGAAAACAACATTGAGAAGAATACCTCGGATGAGAATGCAAGGTTGACATTTCTACTTCAATATGGTATTGGCCATGCTAATGCCATCAAGAGTTGTGTCACCATGGATCCCGCGTCTGGCTGCCAAACAGCAAGGAAAGTGCTTAAAGAGCGTTTTGGTCATCCGTTTAAAATTGCCACTTCCCACGTCAACCAGGCAACCCGTGGACCGCCTGTGAAGCCTAGCGATCGGAAAGGACTACAGACCTTTGCAGATCAATTAAAAGACTGTCTAACCGTGTTGGAGTCAATTGGATGTTTAGATGAAATTAATAGTGCTGATAGTTTAAGGAAGATAATCGATCGTCTCCCCTTCCCAGGATGCATCATTTTTCAAGTTTTGTTTCAGAAAGAGCCCGAGCTGCTAACAGTCCAGTCTAGTGGCGTACTTTATAGCGAAGAAGATAAAGGCAAAAATGATACATCGGGTAGAAAGCCGAGACCTCCAGATACAATGACGACTTCTCACTTAACGTATGCAAACTTTGGAAGACCCAATTCCATTGTACCATGTGGAAGAAAAATTTGGAATCGTTAGCCCTCCCGGAGACAAAGAAGTAGTGGGAATGGGAAATGTTTTCTTTGCGACGAACCTCATCAATTATGGAATTGTGAAATGTTTATGCAGAAATTTAAGAAAACAAACGACACTTTTTAAAAACATGTCTTGACAGTTCTTCTGTCATCTTCAGTTCTGATTTTACAAAGTAAAAAAGTTGAATTTAAATTGTGTAACAAAATTCTGAAAGAAATCCTTTGAAGGTCGAATGAAGATAATTCGTGACGCAAGACTCTGCAGCAATTGTTTATAAGTGAGACACTTTGCAAGTGGATACATGCAGAAGAGTGGATGTTACGTCGAATGTTATACTGGAAAACACAGGACTGTTATTCATCCGCCGGAACATTCCTTAACGACGAGGCAAAGTAAAGAGACGAACAACGACGACGTCAATGAAGCTAGCCCGACAACCACTCCAATGAGGACCGGCGTCCGCAAACTGGAAAGTAACACTAGTGCAGTTCGTAGGAAAGTACGTTTGAGAATCGTCTCTGTGAGAGTGCAAGGAAAGCAACCAGGACAAGCAGTGGTTCCGATGTGTCACTTTGCGATGACAGGCTAATCCAAGTGTTAGGTCTTAATGGAATCCGAAGGAATTTCTATCTAACAACGCACGAGAGGAGAAACAGTGCAAGTACAGGATTCGAAGTTAACCTGATTGTCAATTCACTTGACACTGGATCAAGTTAAAGTTTGGACAGTCAAGCGTCTCAACATTGCATAGCAAAGAATACCAACAGACCAAGATGTAAACAAATGGCCTTATCTGAACGGAATTGAAATCCCGTGTGAGTTCTCGAAGAGAGACGTAGTAATAAATGTGATCCAGTGGGTATTCGATCATTAGTAGGCTGGACGATACTAGGACCAACCCAAAATATTGGAGATCAGGACAGCGTGAATGTGAACTTCATACGCTTGGAAGGCCACAATGATGATAAAATCCGTCTAAAGCAGGTAGAGAAGTTTTGGACAACTGACTTTGTCGATTCAATATCAAGTACGAAAGTGCCTGTGTCTAGAGAAGGTAAACAAGCCTTAAGAATAATGGAGGGATCTTCCAAGTTCGTGTCTGGTCATTACCAAATAGCACTTCCGTGGCGAAAACAACCTCCACATTTGCCAAACAACAAACTTCTTGCAGTTCAAAGATTACAACTGGTGAAGAAGAATTTCTTCGTGATTCCAAATTATTTGAAAGCTACAAGAGGACTATTCATGACTACATCACAAAGGACTACGCCCAACGAGTATCTGAAAAAGAGCTGGGTGCCGATGGCAAACCTCTCTGGTATCTTTTACACAATGCTGCCTTCAATCCTAATAGGCCTAGGAAACCGAGGGTGGCGTTTGACTGCGCAGCTCGATGCATAGGGTCATCGTTTAATGGCCTACTACCAAGTGGTCCAGACTTGACAAACAGCCTACTTAGTGTCCTCTTAAGGTTTCGTCAGGGACCAGTAGCTCTCTCTTCAGACATTGAAGCCATGTTCCATCGAGCAATGGTTGATCCAAACGATTTTGATGCCTCAAGGTTCCTTTGGTGGCTTGGCGATGACTTTTCTAGCTTATCTGTTGAGTACATATTGTAAGTACATCTTTTTGGTAGCATGTCTTCACCAAGTTGTGCTAGTTTTAGTCTTCGAAAGACGGCTCAAGACAGTTCAGAAGACTTTGGCCACGAAGTTGTCGACACAGGAGTGAAGAACTTTTTTGTGGACGAATGTTTGAAGTCGGTGCAATCAAATAAAGTCGCTAGTAAATTGAGAGAAGATTTGTGTGCCTTACTGTCAAGAGATAGATTACGATTAACCAAATGATTGGGTAACCGGAGGGGCGTCCTTGAAACTATTCCAACTTCAGACAGAGCTTCATCAATTTTGGATTTGGACTTAAATTCTGACTCATCTCTCATTGAGAGAACCCTTGATGTTCAATGAACATGGAACATGGATAGCGATATGTTTACCATCAAGATGATACCAAAAGATAAGCCCTTTACACGAAGAGGGATTCTATCAGTGACCAGCTCTATTTATAATCCACTTACCATGGTATCACCAATCACCTTACAAGCGGAAAAGCTCCTTCAAGATCTCTGCAAACAAGGACTCATATGGGATGAAGGGATACGAAGATATAAATCTCAGTTTTGGAGACGATGGCTATTTGATTTACCTATCTTTTCGAGTGTTGCCATGATGTTTAAAACCGATCGACTTTGGCCGGGCACAAAATGCAGAGCTTCGCCACTTTGGAGATGCCCCTCAGATTGCTTATGAGACTGTGTCACATGCAAGACTCGTCAATGAAAATCGCCGTATTCACTGTAGTTTCCTCGCTGGGAAATCTCGCTTAGCTCACATGAAACAGATAACTATAACCTGATTGAAATTGTCGGCCGCTGTTTTAGCTGTCAGAACGAATCAGACGTTACAAGAAGAATTTCAGTTAAAATTCGACAAGACAGTGTTCTGGTCAGACTCCACAGCCCCCCTCCAATATATCAAGAACGAAGACAAACGATTCTACACGTTTGTGGCCAATCGCCTGGTAGTGATATAAGATGACTCAAAACCTTCTCAGCGAAACCTCGTGCCAACCAAGGTAAAGGAGTTTTTTAAAGAGGGAAGTTTGATTCAGAGGCCCTAAGTTTTTGTAGGAAAGTGAAAAATCATGGCCCACACCTATCGAGTCTCATCAGTCAGCATTTCCGATGAAGACTCAGATGTCAGAGGTCAAGCTCAAACGAAGCATGTTACTCTCATGGAGGATAAACGACCACTGAAGCTAATGGCTCTGCAATATTCGTCATGGTTTAAGCTCAGTAAGGGAGTTGCTTGGCTTCTGGGATTTTTAAAATTCCGTAAAAGCAAGAGGTGCGTACAAGAGGACGCTGTTGGTCCTTCACACTAGGGAGGCTGTCTCTAGACGAATTACGACATGCAGAGGCTCAAATCATCAAGTACGTGCAAAATAAGCCTTCTCGTCAGTGGTTAAAGCCCTCTAGACCTAAACCCACGAGGATACAAGAAGCGTAAATTAAAAATAATCGGCTCATTTGGTTCGGTGTACTAGATGAGACCATTTCTGGGTGGAGAGGGAATGTTAAGAGTTGGTGATAGACTTGAAAATTCAACGTTGGAGCACCAATATAAAAAGATCAATCTCTGTTACCCTCATAGAACCATGATACGAAGCTGCTTATTATGGATGTTCATGAGTCGATAGGACATTTAAGCCAATTTCAAAGCTGTGTTTCCTCGAACAGGAGAGATTACTTCTGTCGAAGGCCTCTATCTATTTAATTTGCCTGACAATCGTGTTGTTTATTAAAAGTGAGAAAGCCTTGGAATTTGTGCGTAAGATCTGCGTGAACTTTGAACACTACCGGACTAACTAAAGAGACTCTTATGTTATTTATTATTTGAATTTTAGTTGCCCAACACTTAAAGTGAACTCTATTTTAGTTAAGGGCTGGACTGCAGCAACTAGAATTTGCATTTCTAATTATTGTCAGGTAACTGGGAAACGATTTTCAATCGAATTACTATCGTGATGTTGTGTCTCCATTCAATTAAATTTGGGTTCTTGCGTGAGTTTGTGTAAGAAAGAAGTAACGTCAGTAGCGTTTTATTTCTCGCCAGTATAAGCGTTGTCTTCGTGAGATAATTTTCAACGGATATTGATTTCAGCTTAGTCAGCGTTTCGTTAGTTTTTGCTGGCGCCGTGTTATTTTTATTTGAGAATTTTTCTATCGTACTTGGTTACGCCACAAATTGTAAGTTGGTTTCTATTTCATGTACCTTTGACGTTATTCTTGTTTTTATTATATTTGTACTTAGATATTTGTATCAATTATTTATTTTAAGGCGAATCACATTTACACATCCACACATCTTTGCAACCAAATATATTTGTCTATCTGGGAATTAGATTAAACGTGCATCCAGGTTGTGGCGTTCAACGTGTAGTATTTAGCTTCAGTATCCGGTCTTGCTTTTTCGTGTTTTTTGCGTTTCATTAGCTGATACTAAGGGGAAAATGAATGATACATCGCTTTTTGTTGCCGTTTTTCTCAACTTCATCGTAGTATTACACCATTTTTATCTAATTTCAAGCTTAAAATTTAGCAATCAGTAAGAGACAGTATCTGAATATTTTTCAAAAAAATGCACTGCATCGTCTCTATAAAAGTCTCAATTTAACAAATTGACATGCTGAAAATTTTACGAATAACGTTTGGTTAATCACAATCTAATTGCCCTACGTTTTGTGATATAATGAACTAAACATCATCCCTTTACTCTGAAGACTATTTTTTATTAATCATCTATTCATTATTTATTATCACCTGTCTTCGTTTTAACGTTTTATTTTTAGGTGTCCCCAAAAGATCAATTTGCTCTGGGGATTATCACTTACATTGGGTGTTCAATATCACTGGTGTCTCTTGCCTCTGCCATAATGATATTTCTATATCTAAGGTTTGTGAATTTTTCCAGTTTATTTATTTTAGTCTAGGACAGAAAGCATATCACAAGTTCAAGCTGCTATAACTAAAATGCATTGTTTGGTTGTTATAGTATTTGTCTTTTCTTGAAATGTAAAAGAATCTGACTGAAACATCATTCACTTAACAGTAACGAGGGGCTTGAACCTCATCTGAGCGAGTGGTAATAAAGTAAAATTCTGTGCAATCAATCACACTCCAAACGACACGTTTCCACGAAAATCAGTACGTTCCAGTCTGATTCTTCTTCGTGTTCGGAACGTGAAAAGAAACGTTTTCACTTCTTTCTTTTGTTAGGTCGTTAACGGACATCAGATACCAAATTCATCTCCACCTATGCATTGCCTTGGCAATGGCTCAAGTGGTTTTTCTTGTGGGAATAACAGCAACAGAAAGAAAGGTAAGATCTATGTTTCTCTCTGAATGAGAGAAAAAATCATATCAAATACGACAATTTTGAAACATTGCCGACTCAAACCTCTTCTTTCTAGTAAAGTATATCATAATATGTAAATATAATAAAAGAGTCGGACACAAAGCATAGTTACCTCCTTCTGATCACCACAATTAAGTTATCCAGCTGTAATCCAGGAATCAGACAATTATTGAGAATTCATTCAGCACCTCTGTTTTCCCAGGAATGTGTGACTTTTGCGTCTCACCTCTGAAAACGTCAAAATAGTTGACAGAAGACAAAATTGATTCACAATTTTTTTCCTTAAAGTATATGTTCGAAAGCTGGATACAGACAAAGTTGAGGAATAAATCATTTATAAAATTATCTTGTTTTCCAGTGGTTATGTGCATTAGTAGCTGTTCTTCTACATTACCTGTACACCGCAAGCTTCGCTTGGATGAGTGCAGAAGGACTGCATCTTTATTTCAAGATCGTCGCTGTCTTTAATCTCCAAAATCTCAAATTCATATACTATGCTGTTTTTGGCTGGGGTGAGTACATATTAACGATTTTGGAAGAAATAGTCGGTCGTGTAGATCTTTAAGGACTGTTGAAAATGTATAACTGACGTTTTCCGTGAAAGACGATTTTTTTCCTTTCGCCGAAAAACTATTATTTCGTTAATTGAGGAGAACACGAATTATTATTTTTCTCTCTTTTTTTCCTTGTGTTATTCATTTTTTAGGAAAGCTAGAACCAAAATTTGACGACTTTTTTCAAAGCTAGTCAGATGTATACCTTCAAAAGAAAAAAGGAATCGATGAAAGTCACATATTTTAATGATGTAATCGGTTAGACGTCCTCGTTACAGATTATAAAAATTCTTGTCTCTATAGAGAAGTAAGACGAAGATTGTGAAGACTGGACTATGAGCAGACTATGAGCAGACCAACGGTAGAAACAGAGAAAATTCAAAATTGAAGACAGAAGATGATAGCAAAAAGCACATAAGATCTATCGTTAATAAATGTTTTACGAATAGTGATCTCAAGTTTTGTTTTACTTTGTGCGTTTAAATGCTTTATTCTAATTAGTAAGTCGAAGACAAATCTGATACCATTATATACAAAACGGAAGCTAATTTTGGTATTATTGTTTGCTCAGGATCTCCCATCATTGTTGTTGGAATATCTGCCATTACCAGAACGGAAGGATATGGTACAAGAAATACGTATGTAATACAACTTGGTACTCGATAATCAATTCATATGATTTCAATAATTCGTAGGATTTTTACTTACAATTTTCTCTCGGTGACTGAATTAACCAAACCTGTACATATATTTGGTATTCAGTCACTAGCTCTTGTAACCTGTGCAAGATAGTGTCTAAATACAAGGAATACACCCCTTCTCCACATTGCTGGCTGTAAGATGTATGACGCACTGATTGGGGAAGTGAAGCTATCCAATTACAGATACCAACATATTTGAATTTACACAAATAGAAATATTCAGAACAAAAAAGGAAGAAAAGTATAGTCTCTTCTCATAGCAAGAAACAACCCACAAAAATAGAAAGCTCACCCTCTAGTCATCATTTCTCCAACTTTGATCAGATCCATTGTTTGTTTTCAAAAACACCTCAAACGTATTTTATTAGACAACTTTGACTCTCGTCCATTTTTTACGTCACCTTTAATCTGATCCACGTCAATCAAACGATCCATAAGGGTATGACTAGAACAAGATGTAAGAAGCAACGATAAAGGGCACTGAAATCACATTTTCGTAATGAAGTTAAATTTTATCAGGTGCTGGCTGTCATTGGACAAGGGACTCATTTGGTCGTTTGTTGGACCAGTCGCAGCCATAATTTTGGTGAGTATTTCCACGACCAGATACATTTTGATGAATTTTGATACTAACACTATTCGCTTTTGAAGTTTAACCTGTCCATGCTTGGAATGACGATAAAAGTTTTGGTTTCCTTGACTGATGTGGCCGAGAGTAACGTACAGAAAAACTCTCTGAGGTAAAACTTTGTTTAAAATACTGATTTATTGATATGGCTGCATTGCTGTGGTCGCAGTTCGTTCCGTTTTGCTACCTAAACCCCCGGAACAGTCTACTGAGAGAGTTTTCTTCACACGAAATAAGTGCTCTTATTATCCAACTGCACAAAGCAGAGTACAAATAACGCGCGAATAGAGTACAAATACCTTGCGATATTGTACGGTTATTTGGACAGTTGTTTATTTTGCACTATAAAGATTCTGTTTGACAGGTTGGCTACACTTGCATGTGTTGTTGTTTCAAAGGAGAAAAAAAATGGATGAAATTTTCACATCCGCGGATTGTGACTGTGTTGACCTGCTTCCTTCTTTCGAACTAAGTTTGAAATTTTGACCAGTAATGATAGAGAAAGCGTTTCTCCCAATGCAGACCTACTAAACGATGCTAATATAGGTGAATTCATCGAGCAAAACAAGAACATAAACACTGCGAAGAAGACGAAGACTGACCTTAATGTACGGAAAAGGTGGTTTACCTCCATTGGCGAAGAAAGAGGACTTGAGAATATCCCACCCAGTAAAATATAGTAAATATCAAGAAGTAAGAATGTACTGAGTTCGAGCCAAGTAGGCTAACATCCTTCCACAGATGTATTGTCCGCCGTTTACGTGACCACGAAAAGCCTTACTGTCTTTTGAACGATATAGAATTTTCAAAGTCAAGAGTAACACTTGAGTCTAAAAGGAAACAGCTTCACCAAGATGGAAAAAGGCCGCCTTCCAACAAGCTTGGCCTCAGAGAATCAGAAACGGAGAAGCGGTGGTCTACAAATCAGTGTGGTTATACAACACGATGCACTTTGTTTGGAGGGTAAGAGATGAACGTCGAAGATTCTTGCTGGGAGACCTGGAGCTCTGAAAAACAAGAAACGGTGTCAAAGAATTTAGTTCCGAAAGGTATTTCAATCATTGGATGTATACGACGGGCGGTAAAAGGTGTCCAGTTAAGTTTTTCAAGGGTTATCTCGTTAAGCGACCTGCTGAAATGAGAAATCCAGATAACTTTTTTTACTTGGCTGTGAAAAAACCTACAACCGATGTCTGGTTCAAAAAGCAACCACTCGGAGTACATTCTCTTGGCAATTTCATGAAGAGTATGGCTCGAGCACACTAACCATCCTGCGCGCCGTACGATGATCACTATGGTGGGAAAAGAGAACGTAAACCTGCTTCACATCTTGCAATTGCCGGGACACAAGAATCTTAAGCCAATCGAAAGCTACCCAGCAGTTTTTGAAGAGCAACAAAAGATGTTCTTTTTCGATTAGCCAGTGCTCAAGCGGTAGATAAGCAATGAAATGTGTAAGCTGACACAATTCACCCATAACGCAATACGTCTCTGTGTACTACTACTAGTACAGGTTGGAGCCAACCAGTTTCGAACTCCTTCTCTGATGGTGTATTTAACAAATGCACTATTGTTCTTGGTTCACAGTCTCCAGCCCCTCATGTGCTGGCAGCGATTCCTGCGAAGCATAGTCGCCATGTGATTGAGTCTGATGATGAAAATGAAATATGATTTTGGAAATTATTTTTTTTATGCTTAGAGCTAGTCCATGTCTTTGAGGGTTTGTCTCCCGGTAGATTCAATCAATGGGCAAACCGCCCAGGCAGGACATTCGACTGAACTATTACTAACACATCTCACAGAAACGTGGAGAAAAACACACGACTCAGGATCCGCGGCTGCAGTAGTCTCTGCAGATTTCAAAAAGGCCATTGACAGTGTTTCTCATTCTATCTTGTTATGAAACTCAAGAGATTAAAATTCTTTCCGCGTTAACCGATTTGTATTTTGATGTGATTCTGCTCTCATTGTCCTATGGTCTCAAGCTAGTCTTATGGGGATCATGCTGTAACAGCGAAATACTTCAGTCACTAGAACGGCTCCATTACAGAGCAGCTAGACTTATTTTAAACCTTCCCAATGATATGGAGTCATGCCAAGTACTGAAACAAGCACAATGGTGTAACCTGTATTCTTACTTCAAACCTGTATTTTTTATTTGTATCCATAAAGCGTACCACGAGAAACTTCCGCGCCTGAACACCTGCTACATGAAAGACTCCCTCCACTCATAGGCGCACTACTATGGTACTGCTTGACACGCAAACATCCCCTGTTATGGGAGCCTCGAGCGGAAACTGAGATTATTGGATAGTTTTAGGAATATTTACCTTCAAAGTGCATCTACATCCACATGCGCTTTCAAATCAGAAGACCTGTAAAGTTAAACCGAAAGACTGTAATTGGCATGAAATTTAGTTAATTTCACCCTTCTCGAGATGGCTGTATATCAGGTTCTTGACAAATTGTAAACTTTCGGAAGTCCGTTAGGACTTGAGATCCTTAGATATACGACCCAACAAGCTTTATAGCTTTAAAAATTACCGTTTTAAAATAAAGGATTTGAAATGAAGGATCTTCTTGTTTGATAATGTAATGATTTCCCGCTTTTTTTATGTTTTGGTGAGGGAGGGCGCGCTTGAAAACTTGCTCTAAATTCTGATTTGGTCATAAGTCACGGGGGGGGGGGGTATGTAATCATCATTTCACAAAAACGTTGATATTGAAATGAAATAACTATCTGCCATTAGATGCTCACTCATAAAGAGAACAAGTACTGATCTCTTGCAAAAGCAGAACGAAATATACGTGAGAAAATGACCAATTTTGTGACCTTGATTTAAGGTTTGCCTAGCATCTCTGATCTCATTATTTATGCGTTAGAAAGTCTGGAATGAAAAATTTGCATGTGATCTCTGGTGGGAGCAGCGGTGGGAGTTTCACGTGTTTATGCTATTTCGTAAAACTGACCCGTCAGACTTCTCATCCTCAGCCCAGGCTAGGATCCTACTGCGTTCTTAAAAGGTTGGTTATGGAAGGTGTCACTAGCCTGCTGAATTATCATATATATTTTTCTCTTTAGATCTTGTATTAAGGCGGCTTTGATCTTGATGCCTTTGCTGGGTATATCGTGGATTTTTGGCCTTTTGAGTGTCAACTCTGGAACCATTGCATTTCAGTATTTGTTTGCTATAATGAATTGTTCACAGGTACGTTCTATATCCCACAGATATGACACAATGATTAAGTAGCAAGTGTTTATAGTTAAGAATATTGATAACATCTCTATTAACAGGCGAAACATGTATTTGAGGATACCACAAAAAATGCATTGGGTGGAAATAGAATTTTACTGAAAAAAGAGGAAATCTGCTTTTGTTACGTAATATTTTTCCATAAATTATCTACTAATGAATGTTTGGCTTTCAACTTATGGGAGTAACAGTGTAGTTTTTAAAATCAAATTATTTCTATAGTATCGAGAACAAAGTATAGTAACTGGTTCAGCAAGTGACAGTGAGTGCACAACACTCAGTGCTGTCTACTCCGGTGCTTCAGTTTGATGCTCTTCGTAGCCTCGCGCAAAGTTCAATATAACTTACATCTAAGTTTCTAGCTAAACTTGGTGAAATTTAGTTTTTTTGTCGTCTCTAATTAAAATAAACCAAAAAGATTGCCACATTAATTAATGAATACAAAATTCTACGTTTTTCATTCCTAGATTTTCCTTAAGGACGCCCTTAAAGTATTTTGTTTTTTCCAGGGTCTTTTCATCTTTATTTGTCACTGCATCGGCAATACGGAGGTAAGCTAACGGATTAAAAAATAAATCCCTATCACTGATCAATAATAACTGCGTCGATTGAAACAGAATAGAGAGTAAAATTTAGTTTACAACAACACAAACTGCCATCTCATCCGAGCTGTCAAAGTATTAAGGTTTGCTAAAATAAGAACGCTCAAAATAACAACATTACTGCAAAGACCGCATGAAATGTAATTTCTGACGTCTGAATGACATGGGAACGAATTAGTCAGAAATTGGTATTCTGAAGGCACCTTAAAGAGGTGAGGGTGGCATCAAAGAAGTTTCGGGTTATATAATGCTTGTAGCGAACGCATCCTGATACAATCTTAACTTTTGTACAATCAAACTAAGGGTTCTGCGAACAGAACCTGAGCAACGTCAGATACGAGAAAAAACACTATAAAACCACTATGAAACCACTCTTGATATGCAGCAAAAAAATATGTAGAAACGTATTCCTCATCTAATGCAGCAGCACAATACTCCGCAGAAAAGGTAAACTAACCTGGTTACACAATAAATCACAAAAAAAACCCAGATTGTAATGATATTCTACAGGAAGTTAGAAAAGAAAATTACAAAGAATACGAAAAAAGAAAGTGGTCAAAAGACTGAACGACCTAGAATTACTTAATTTGCCGCGAAACACTTATATGTCTCGTGTGAGTTTAGTCAGAATATCTTCTCACTGTTGGGATGACCAAATCGTGTTAACACAAGAATTTATCAACAATGACCTCTGAGTCCGTTATTTTAACACAATCAAAATCACTATCTCTTTTAATTTTTGTGAATTTCATTATACTTTGTCCTAGGTTCGTGCGGCTTTGATTAGATCGAAGAAGAGACATTCCGTGAAAGTTTCAACTCAAAATGTAAGTTTGAATTAAACAAGAAACCTTTTTCGGGCCGTAAAGAGAGTCAATTTGTTCAAGACGTTATGTGTTTTTCTGAAACCTCATTTAGCGGTGTTCCCGACAGATATCCTTGGACAAAATGAAGACCAAATCGAAAGGTAGTGCTTCTATCTTATTATTTCTACTTCACATTGCTAAACTTACTTCTAAGGGCCAAAAAGAGGCAATAGTTGATAAAAAAAGCTATTTCAAATACTTGTAACAGAAACATTTAAATCCTGTCTCTCAACCTCAATTAACTGGAAAGCTTTCGGAATGTTCAGTTATAGTTCGTTACATTGTTAAAATTTCTGTTATTTTCCTTGCAGTACTAAAACAATCGGAAGACCAGAAAAATCCAAAAACAGACATAGTGAAGGTGGAAGGGAGCCAATGAGTAGATATTTCATTTTAACGAAGAAACACTGTGAAACTTACTTTTCATTATTGTTGATTTATTAGTAATCTAAATACAATCTTTTCCTCTTAAGAAATAAACCCGGAGCCTTGACATTCGAGTGTAACCTCAGGGAATCATGTGCAAGGATTGTTTTCATCAGCAACGTTATCTCCAAAAATTTCAAAATAAAAATAAAATTAAAAAACATTATGAAAAAAAAAAAAAAAACTGCTCAGTTTAGCTTAGAGATATGGTGAAACCAACTCTTTCAAAATCGTATATAAAGGTTTCGTTTGTCCCGGCAAAAATTTTGAGTAACATTATCGCTAAAATGAACGTGCTCAATACAGGCGATGAAAACTTCCATTTGTACTATGTCTGTACATCCATAGGTTGAAAAACTGAAGGATAAATGGATCTCTTGATAGAGAAGCCATGAAGGTAAAACAACTATTCCACTCAAATGTAAATAATGGCAAAGCAGTTATTTGCAAGTTTAATGTTATGTTATCCGTGACTCTCGCAGAATGTCAAACGTATCAGAATTAAAGAGGACAGAGAAAATCACATTATTGTTTCCAAGTAATTGATTTAACGCCGTGCAAGCTCAAAGAATAAAAATTTCCTTTGGAAAGAGATAATTAGAATCAAAGATATTTTGAACAAAGGCATTTTAGAAGCCCTCTCAAGTTTAAGTAACAGCTTAGATTATGATTCTCCATTGTCTATTGCAAATATGCGTTCTTTCGATTATAGAAGGTATGATCAATCTTTCATCTTACTCTTTAAATCTAAAGAAAAATAAGCCTGATTACATCTCTAATCTTTCCGAGTATCGTAAGACCCATTATCATTTAAGGAACAGAGGAAATAATCTTGTTTAACGCATTAATCATAATCGGCATTACCATCAGTCAATTACTTACAAGATATCCCTTTTGTGGAATTAGCTCCCGTCACATCCCAAGCAGTCAACAGACTTGAATGACTTTCCCAAGAAGTTTCAATTTTTCTGGCCTGATATTTCAAATTTGAAGCCAGTATTTTTGTATTTTATTTTGCTTATTGCCATGTGTCTTAAACACGAGCCTCTAGCTCGAATACACGGGGCAACCTGATCCCACGCATTGACATTCAAAAATCGATTGATTGAACACCAGTATCCAGGAAGTAACTTGCATCAGGTACCATGTAAAATGAACTTTTAACGTTTATAAACATAAATCTGAAGAGTTCAGATATAGAACAACAAGTGAGGGGCAAGCACTATCACGAGGCGTACGAACATTTCTCAAAATGAAGTCTACCTTAAACGGCTCTCTGGGGTTCAAAGCTTCTCGGAAATATGAATCCTAAGAACACCACAGGCAACTGACATATACGCCTTAACGGGTGGCTCACGAGCCTCCCACCACAACTAAAAACGCACAATCGATTGCAGTCAGTTTAAATAGTTACTGCGTCGACAAGAATAAATACCGCTAAATAATGTTCGGCGTGTGAAAAAATGTCTAAGCCTTAAGAAACTGATGATCAGTTACAGTCCCAGGATAGCACTATCACAAAAAGCTTAAAGGAAAATGTAATCCTAAAATAGCGCATTTGTTCGTATGCTCTACTTTGTTGGTTTTTTTTTCAATTGGAAAAATTTGTTACCAAGACAAGGTGTTCCCCAAGGAAAAAGTTGAAAATGGTTGTTGTAGCGTGAGAAAGCAGCACACCTCAACTTACAATTACCCTCTGAGCTTAGATTGTTATACTTAAATAGGGCCAACCTGATGAGATTGGTACCTTCGAGCACATCATGTAACACAAAATACAAGAAAAAGTGCTCCAAAAATATTTACTAGCACTTTATTGATATATCACCATCGGTCTCCTTTCGCTCATTGCATTGCCAATGAGGTGGCAAAGTTTCAAAGAGGGCCATACTATTACAGGCACCTACCGGTATAATTTCTGACACAAGCACCCATGCCCGAATATTTCACAACGATTCGATGCGTGACGAAACAATGCAGACTGGTCACGCGTAGATTAGCAAAGGAACGCTCTATTGACGCAAGCGTGAACTAGGGTCAAGTGAAAAGTTTCAGTTCGATGGTGGGTCAAGAAAATAGATATATGAATATTAAGTAAGCGCCTAAAATATATTTATCATACTTAACCTTTCCTTATTTCCATATTCTAGACCATCCATTAGCTATAGGTAAAAACTGATTCGATGCGTTTTTTCATTAGAGTACCAGAGAATTACTCGACATGACCAACGAAATAGTCGACAAAACCATAAAGCACCAGAATCAGACACTTCAAAGACCTATTGTTTGCATGAAGTAAACGCAATAGTGTCGGCGCAAAAATCCCAAGTCTACTGCAACTCATAGGATACACTCCTGAAAACTCTATCATCAAGTAAATCCCACTCAGTTTAAGTAGGGGTACATTCTTCAAGGAGAAAATTTGCCGGATTTTGTCGAATTGCTTGGATAAAACCTCTCGAAGACATCACTGTAGAGTTGAACACATTTGGATCGGTAGTAATCTCTTTCCTTGAGAATCACTTTAAGATCTCTTCTCGTTGCAGACAGCTCATTTTCTAGCGACTGATTTTCTTCTATCGTGGTTTTTCTCTTTTGAATGCTCTTCAGTCTACACTTCAAAGCGTATCTGCGGTTTTTAAGAATTCTTCTCCTTTTCTTGAGCTTCTGGGCCTGTTGCGAAGGAATGTGTCGAGTGTATTCATTTAGCTGCTTGGTTGTCATCTTTTCAAGTTCCTTATCACTCAAAGTTCGAAGGGATCCTGCTTCCTCGTTCCTCTTCTTGACAGTGGGCTTCGAAACAACCATTTTCCTTCCTTTGGCTCCGCATGAAAAACTTGAATCGGAATTTTGCATATCTGTACGTTGAAGGTCTTCCATTCTATTCCAGACACAACTTAGACTCAGCTTGACCTCGTACTCAGGTTAGTAAGGTATGTAGGCAGGCGATAATAATCTCGACCGAGAACTGAATTTCTCTCAAACAGATATACAGTAGCACATTAGAACTCCGAACTTCCGGAATGTGTTTTGAAAGCGAAAGCTTTCAGCCGGCATCACTCAGGTCAAGCTTAGCGATTGAACAATACAAGGGAAACCCCCTCTCTCAATGCTTCTCGTAAACGATTGATTGATTGACTGATTTGGAAGCCTGCGCCATCAGTCGATAATAGTTATGAGCGTTGCCACATCTGTAGCATGTTTAACTGCTGCTAAAGGGTACTTCTCCCACAAATGCGTGACAATTTTTCTTGATGTGAAGCATATGGCCGTAAAGGCCGCTTATTTCAAGACGACGACAAAAGCAGACGTCACTACAAAGGCAAATTAGTCCTCTGTTTTATTACTCTGATTTTCGTTGAAAATATTTGTCTTTACCTTAAAGTGCTTAAGGTAAAGGTATATTAGAGCGTAAACTAGTTATCGAAAGTTAAGAGAAATCAGATGGGTACGACATCATATGTACATCAAAAATGTACCTTTCGAACCAAAAATAAATGAATAATTCTTCATTCTTTAATTGCTAGAATATTTGTTGGAACAAGAAATAGCATCTATTGCACTCCACTATCTCCATTCTCCCTCGAGGGCGCAAACGTGGGAGCATTTTTGCCGGAAAAGTTTTAAAGTGAAATATTTGAGTTTTCAAAAAAGATAGCTTTTGTTCAATGAACATAACTTCAAATTTCGATTGATCAATCCAACCAGACAGTAAGAATGTTATAGAAAACCATCTGTTGTTTTAAGTATTTTTATTTTCACAGCTCTGAGGGATTATCAATTACATCTGAATTATAGATAACAAACCTGCAGTAAACGTACCCCATAACTACATGTGCCATGTGTTTAAGTCCACTTTTGTCATGGTGTGTGACCAGCGTCTTGAGGAAAGAAAAACAAACCCTCAGGCAGAAGTTGTTGATATCTTGTCTGGTTTCAGTTTCGAATAGGTGCATCACTTCCGCTTTCAATGCTTTCCACAAGACATAAAATTGTGGTTACAGCGCTACACTCAAGCATGCGAAAAGCTATCGAAAAAAGTCTCACAAGTATGTTTTTGCGCTGCAATAACAGCATAATATAAGTATGAAGTCGAGCGACTCGTCTCATTTTTGTTTATATTAATGATCCTAATCCATAATGTCTAAAGTAAGCGTAATATCAAGCTTTTACCACCAACACAGAACACCTCAGGAAAAAAGGGTTCATCAGGAAAACAAGAACACCTTCGTTTAAATGAACTAACGTACTTGTAAGCAACAAAATTTCCTACAACAGGATTAAGTAGTTCTGTTATTTTACAATAGTCGCGTAGAACGATCAAACTGGAATTCCGGGTTTAACAGAGGTGTTTGCGCTCTCTGCAAGCCCCGTTCAGTATCAACAGTTTTTTTCGTTTACATTGGACTCTGTGATACAACTGTTGATCTCCAAGCCGTGTAGACTTTTGATTTATGCCAGATTCCCTGATTCTAGAAGGAAGTTTGGGAGAACAAAATGTTCCATCATTAATTCCTTTTTGCAATCTGACTGTAGCTGCAGAAACTTTTTCTTGTATTCACTTCTCTCTTTTAATACTTTGCAAAGCGTCTCTCTGCCGTCTTCCAACTGCTTCTTCAACAACTGATTTTCGTTGAAAAGGTCCTCCTGAAACTGTTGCCGACGTCTACGGCAAGTCAAAGCGTAGCCTCGATTCTTAAGGTTACGTCGCTTGCGCCTTATTTTAACAGCTTCTTCTCTAGGTATTCCTCGAAGAAGTTTGTTTAAATCCTGAACTCGAAGATTCTTAATTTCTTCGTCGGAGAGATCTTTGATTTTTATCTGGGTTCCAGTCGTTGAGACTACATCTTCAATCTTCCCTCCATTAAACAGGTCTGTTATGTCGTCATCTGAGTCGCTCTTGATGTCTTCTTCAAACAGTAAGTTGTCCATTGACCATGGTGTATCGCTGATATCCACTGGCTCGGAAAAAACGTTGTCATACAGCAACCTTTCATCCATTTTCTTGTTCGCTTGTTAACAAAGCTACCAGGCGCTCAAAATAACTCACGAACGAAGGACAAAACCGCGTTTTCTTCTTAAGATATGGAAGCAATCCAGCCATAACCAATCAGAAGCGCAGTATAGAAGGGAAAAGTCCCTCCGAAAGGGGATTACCCTTTCTCGACGTCACGATCACCTCAATTCGCTGAAATGGCTTGTATTTCCGAGAAATTTAGTTGAAAAAAAATATTGATTTATCATAATGATATTGTCATTTAGCATTTAATGATTCGGCTGACAGTTAAAATGGTTTCGTATTTGGTTTAGTATCAATTTCCTACAACATAGCACAGTAGAAAGCCATTTTCCGGCGAAATATGACGTGACGGTGAAAACGAAGTAAACAGAGCGAAAAAAAGTTGGTAATAAATCTTATCTTTCCTCAGCATGACAAGCTATGACAGCGTTAAAAAAAAAAAAAAACAGCTAACATATAATCGTCAGTTGATTCAGTCTTTAGTCAATGAGGCTTGCAAAGATCATAA